GAATACAAGGATGTCGATAGTATGGGTAGAAAAACCTCCAATTTTTTTTTTTTTTTTCTATTCACTCTAATTGCAAAAAAAAAAAAAAAGAATAAATTCTTGAATTTTTTTGGTACTAGAATGGTACGCAAAGCAGGCGGGGAAGAATTTGCCTAGCGCTATGGTAATGTTAGAAAAGCTGCAAACCTTATCGTCATCGCATGCGACGATGCCCCCGGTTCCTTATGATGGTTTGGTCATGATGCGACAGCTGCAGCAGCTCCTGCAAAAGCTACAACTCCAACTGCAGCTGCAGCAGCTCCTGCAACAGCTACAACTCCAACTGCAGCAGCAGCTGCTCCAACCACCGCAGCAGCTACAACAGTTGCTCCGATTACCGCAGCAGCTACAGCAGGAGCTCCTGCAGCAGCAGCCCGAGCTTCAGCAGCAGCTGCTCGAGCCGCAGCAGCAGCAACTCGAGCCGCAACAGCATGACGGTCAAATAGCATGTTGCGACCCGAGTGGCATCATGAAAATAAGGATGGCATCATCATGCCTTGAGTAGTGTTTTTTTTTTTTTTTTCTTTTTTTTAATTCCTTAAAATTATGAAATGCACACATATTATATAACTTTCGAACTCATCTGCCACTTTATTGGTTTGTTGGCAACTTATTTATGATGGGGTATTAGTGATTAGCTTGTTTTACATGTAGTTGAGGTTTTTCAATCATAATTTATGTGTGTTTATATATGGTTTTGTATGCAAGTCGGTTGTTGTGTTCACCGAGGATTTTTTTTCGAGATTGAAATTATATTGAAATTAGGTTTCTAAGACATTGGATGAATTAAGGATGTCGGAGATGCGTTCGCCGAGGATTTTTTCGAGATTTTTCCGATCGGTGTACTAACAACAAATGCTTATTGCTTAAGAGGCTAACAATTGAAGAAGAACAAATTGGACAAGAAGTTGAGGTCCATGCATGCATGCATGGAGGAAAGGTCTCGAGCGTGATCTTTGCCGCCACCCTTGCGGCAGTTTTGATATGCTCGGTGGTGGCGGCAGCGGCCGCCACCTCCATCCCTCTGGGGTCGATGGGGAAGTGGATCGATTCGCTACTCTTGAATTACGAGAATGCGGTGAAGGGGCCGGGCAAAAAGGAGATGGTGGATTGCATGAATGTGGGGACTTATATGTTGCAATTAAAGATTTTGGATAAAATTAGGGTTTCAATCGAGAGGTTGGAGATCGATATCGAGTCGATGTTGAAGAATGCCGATTTTGCCCTTGGTGGAGAGGGTGATTTGAGGGTTTGTGCGGAGGAAATTAGGGGCTCAAGCTGATAATTGCTGTAGGGATATTCGGAGGGCTAGAACGGTAATTCTGCAGAGAATTATCAAACACACCCCAACAACCATTAGTGAAGATAAAAACATAATTAATTAATCAATTGATTAATTAATTAATTACCAGACAATAATAATATATATAGGACTAGCTGTTGCTTTTATTACTTGATTTTTTTTTTTTTCATTTTTTTGTTGTTGATGGAATTATATATGTATTAGTATTTATTTATATGTAGTGATTCGAATTTCTGGTGATAAATTTTCGGTATTTTAATAATTAAAAAAAAGAAGAAATATTTGATAGCAATCCATGCACGCAGTACACCATAAACTAGGTGTAATAATAACAGTAGGGCTGGGCATTTGGGATCGGGATTCGGGATCCCGTCCCGTCCCGATCGGAATTTTACTATTTGGGACTAAAACTTCGGGAATTCGGGATTACGGGATTCGGGATTGGGATTATGAACAAATACGGGATCGGTATTAGGGAATTGGTTCAATCCCGATCGGGATATTTTAATCCCGAATTAGGAAAAAAAAAACTAATAAAAATACACACACACACACACACACACACATATATATATATATATATATATATATATATATATATATATATATATATATATATATATATATATATATATATATATATATATATATGTAGAGACATGGATATGTATATATCTATACAAAAGTGTGTGTCTCCATATATATATATATATATAAATATATATATGCCCCGAGGTGTGTGGAAAAATAAAAAGGGGCGAGAACAAGTGTGTGTATATAATATACTCGGGGTGTGTGTGTGTATAAAAATATACGTGGGGAAAAAATGCAATATTTCTTAGTTTTTAGGCAAAATATGGGATTTCCCGATCCCAATCCCGATTCCCGAAATATTTAGGGATACCGATATAATCGGGATTTAATAGTTTGGGACGGGATTGGGATATAAAATTTCTATCCCGAATCCCGAAATCCCGATCCCGAAAATCCCGAATTCCCGAAATCCCGTCCCGAACTCACCCCTAAATAACAGGCACGTTATGTATGTATACGACACGTGTCCGATTTTCGTGATGCTATTATTGTCAATAATTAAAATTTTGTGAAATCTAGCTAGAACATGAATTTCCTCCATCTAATTAATAACACGTTAATTAATTGATCACCACAATTAATTTTGCAATCTAATTCAAGTATTCAACCTAAATTTATGATTCGAGATCCAAATTAGGTTAGGTGGGGTGGGTGGGGTGGGGGTGGGGTGGGGTTCTTTCGACCCTACACCCGATGATAAACACATGGTGGGTCTTCTGCTGTCACGTGTCCATTTTTTTATTTTTCTAAAATCCCTAAAGATAAACCCTAGCGAGAAATATATTATAAAATACAAAAAAGAGACACGCGGCAGCAGAAGACGCACTCAGTATTTATCATCGGATGTAGGGTCGAACAAATCGGGGGTTGGGGTATCGCGATGCACGTGACCATAAGGAATATACTGACGTAACGTGGAGAAATATTAATAAGCGAAAACGAGTAAGGAGCTGACACGTATTAAAAAGTGTGACGTGTCACTTCAAGGCGGGTGAAGGAACAACTCAAATAGCGTGGGGTGGCGATGTACGCGGTGATTTCCATCCCCGTTCTTTAACAACTTTAACTTTTCATTTTGCTCCTCATTTTAAGGTTTTATTAATTCCAAGTACTAATATTTTGGAACGGTGGTCTAATAGATGTTATATTTTGTGAAATATACGTACAAAATTCACATGTTATTTTGCATGTTTGTTACATTAGAAAATACCCATTATTACAATGAATCATCAATACAAATATCCAACATTAATACGCGAATCGTACCATGTACGCAAGGACATCTAATTAATTACCTTCGAAAAGTTTGTAAAATTCTTTCGATACTCAATATACACTGGATTGAGTCAATAATAATTCTTCGCTCGACTTCTCATGCAATTATCTCGTATAGATCGAGGAGCATTTGTACGTCTGTGACGAACAAAAGGGCTTTTGTGACGAACAATTTTGTCACTAAATTGAAGAAAAATCCGTCACAAACATGCTTTTGTGACAGAATATGTCCGTGAGGAAAACCCTTGTCACCAAATATTTTTGAATATACATTAAAAAAAATTGAACTAGTTTAGATATTAAAGTGTTCATATTTAAATGTCATCCAAATTGTTAAAGGTGGAATTGAAGTAGGGATTGGATAGTAAAAGAAGCTTGACTTAGTTTGCCTTCTTTACAATGAAACTTTTATTTTGAATTAATTAATGTACATGTTCATAATTTCAGTTCTTATCCCATATTCAAGCATTTATGGAATACTTTCCCCCCAAGCAATTTAATTTTATGATAAATATCTCAATTTTCATGAATATATATTTTACAGATCATTCTACCTGGCATTTTAGGAGCTCTCCCATTCTTGTAATAAGGTTCGTTTACAACTCAATTTTTATTTCCTTTAATTACATTTTATTTTCATGCATAGATCTTCTCAAATTAGCAGAGGCGGAGCCAGTATAGGGCCAGAGGGGGCCATGGTCCCCAACAATTCTCGAATCTTTGTTTTTATGTAAAAAATTAAATGAATTTATGTATAATTAGCATCATTTGCCCCTCTCATAAAAGTTATAATACATTCAGCTTCCACAAACTTAAAATACTGATTCCGTTACAATTATTAGTTAGGCACGTTTTTCTTTCGATATGATATAGAATAATATTGTCGCATAGAACACCGGCCGATAAATTGATTGTTTCCTAATTATCAGTATTTTTTTCATTTTTTTAATAATGACAAAAAAAAACCCGCAGTCAACCATATAGGTGCACTTATTATTTTTTTTTTCATCGTCCGTATATTTTAACTAGTCATTTAAAAAAATGTATGTATATATAGAGCTTAAACTTATATAAATTTTGTTGTCATGTAATTTATTTTCTTATTCAATAATTAGTTATTCAAAACCTCGCTGTAAAAATAAATAAATCTATATCTATTTGGGTTTAATGGGGCAGTAATTCAGTAAATATCAGTTCCTTCCATCTGAAGTCAATTCACCAAACTCTGACTTATTAGTTTGTGGATAGAAACGAAGATACATATATATATATATATTGTGTGTGTGTGTGTGTGTGTTTTATATGTATACAGTAGCGAGGGAAGACATTGCTTCCCGCGTTTTCCATATGCAATATATCTATTTATTATATTTAAATTGATTAATTAATTATTATTATTATTTGGGTGTGATGAAAATAAATAAATAAAATGAATGCGTGCAAGCTATTTGTTAATAATATGAAGGCAGCACCACCGCCACCACAAATTTTATTTTGTCTTTGCCACCTTAACGGTTTTATTTTCTCTTTAAGCTTTCTTCTTCCCCTCAATTCTCTATCTATATATCTATATCTATATTTATATAAATAACTTCACTTTCCTTTTTCCATCAAAATTCCCATAGCTAATCATCCCAAAATTATTATTAAAAAAAAAAAAAAAAATCTGTCCTTGGAATAATATATATGATCTTGTCAAGAACTACATGAAGTATGTCTACTCTTTTCTTTTTTGTTCATTCTTTTGATAAATAAAAGTTTGAATTTTTTTTATTTTTTGTGTTTAATTTGTAGATCAAGATTATTGTCACCATGGGAAGCCACATAAGCAAAAAGCAAGGTCATGAAACAACAACCTCATCAATCAACAATCTCCACAACATATCAACCGAGCTCAACTCGTACGAAGCCGCATGCAAACTCGACATCGATTTGCAATCTTTCGACGCGACCCTCCAATCGAGAACCCACAACGTAATCAACTCCTTGGCCGTGGGGGTCGAGGTGAAAGCATTGTCATTCGATTCCCTAAAGGAAGTCACCGAATGCCTCCTAGAAATGAATCAAGAAGTTGTCAAAGTTATCTTGGATTGCAAGAAAGACATTTGGAAGAATCAAGAATTGTTCGATCTAGTTGAGGACTACTTCGAAAATAGCCTCAAAACCCTCGATTTCTGCACCGCCCTCGAAAAATGTCTGAAACGAGCTCGAGATAGCCAACTTCTCATCCACGTGGCGCTTCAACAATTCGAAGACGAAAACAGGGTTGAAGGTGGTAGTAGTGAAGTAAGGTATTCTAAGACATTGGAGGAATTAAGGAACTTTAAGGATGTTGGAGATCCGTTCACCGAGGATTTTTTCGTAATTTTCCGATCGGTGTACAAAAACCAAATGCTTATGCTTGAGAGGCTACAAAAGAAGAAGAATAAATTGGATAAGAAGTTGAGGTCCTTGCATGCATGGAGGAAGGTCTCGAGCGTAATCTTTGCCGCCACCTTCGCGGCGGTTTTGATATGCTCGGTGGTGGCGGCCGCCATGGCAGCGCCGCCAGTGGCGGCGGCGCTGGCGGCCGCAGCCTCGATCCCTCTAGGGTCGATGGGGAAGTGGATCGATTCGCTTCTGAAAAACTACGAGAACGCGGTGAAGGGGCAAAAGGAGATGGTGAATTACATGAATGTGGGGACTTATGTTGCAATTAAGGATTTGGATAATATTAGGGTTTCGATCGAGAGGTTGGAGATCGATATCGAGTCGATGTTGAAGAATGCCGATTTTGCCCTTAGTGGAGAGGGTGATGTGAAGGCTTGTGTGGAGGAAATTAGGAGGAAATTGGATTTGTTTATGAAGAATAGTGAAGAATTAGGGGCTCAAGCTGATAATTGCAGTAGGGATATTCGGAGGGCTAGAACGGTAATTCTGCAGAGGATTATCAAACACCCCAACAATCATTAGTGAAGATAGAAAACATAATTAATTAATTAAATAATTAAGTACCTCGTTTCCTAGTCCTAAATATTTAGTATTAGTATTATTTACTTTATTTTTTTTGTGGATGGAATTTTATATGTATTAGTATTTATTTATATAGTAGTGATTCGAATTTCTGGTGATGGATTCTTTTTATTTAAAATTTTCTATATTTTAATAATTGGTGTTTTTTTAATATGGAAAGTGAATTTTTTTTTTGATAATTAAAAAAAAAAAAAAAATTAATAGTAATACATGCACGTAGTACACCATAAAGTAGGTGTAATGACAGACATTAGATAATCTTTTATGTAGATATATACGGTGGAAAGATAATTAGTTATGGAACAGAAAAGTGTATGGATGAATTATCTTAACTTCTAGATTGTCCCTTGCGGAAATTAAATAACAATATTTATACGTACTCATTACTCTTAATAATTGGTTATTAAGGCCACGTACTTCATCTCAATATATATATATATATATATATATATATATATATATATATATATATATATATATATATATATATATATATATATATATATATATATAGCTAGTTTGGTATAATTTCGATTTTTTTTAATTGTTTTTGCCTTTTTTGGGTGGGAATATTAGAAAAATATTTTTATATAGAGTATATATAATTTTTGTTAATTGCAAATTTCTACGTATGCAAAATATAAATACAAGACGAGAAAAAATAGTACAAATACAATTTATTAATCAACGAGATTCTTCTCTTTTAATTCGACTATTTAAGGGTTTAGAAGTTTTCTTTTTCTTGAATAGAATAAGTATAAATAACTATTTGAATTCAGATGTGTTATGTTTTCGAGGTCAGGGCTCGAGACTTGAGCTAATTGAGAACTCGACGTGTCTGTCTTTTTTATGCAGCAACACAAATTAGGGTTTCTTGGCATACATCGGGCCGGAACAATAGTAAAAAACTCAAATTTAAAATGATTTTTTTTATTTGAGACCGATTCGAAATATTATTTGGTGATTTATCTCAAAATTTCGACACAATTTACGAGTAACCCAATCAACGGTGCCAGCTCATTAGCGCCTGTTTCCCGGGTGCTTTTTCTTTTTTTCTTTTTTTTCTTTTT